GGGGGGGCGCCGGCGGCGGGTCGGGTAACGGCCTCCCGGAGCATCGCCCGCGGCGCGTCCGCCGGTGCGTGACACGGCAGCCGGAGCGCGGGTCGCAGGGCCCCCCCGGCGGTGCGGGGCCGGCGCCGTCGGGCCCTTTGTAGCGGCAGCACAGGCCGCACCCGGCGCTCGGCGGTGAGGCTGCGGCCGGACCGGGGGCAGCGCATCCTCCCGCGGCGGGGCTGGGACCCGCCGTGCCGTTATGGCTGCTGAGGAGCCGGGTGGTGCGGGTCTGACGGCACCGGGACCCGGCCGCAGTCGGTTTTATTTTCTCCTGTGAATGCAGATGTGTAAAAGATGATGAACATACCGGGTAGGCTGGGAACAGGAAGAGGTATATATTTTAAAAGATTAATTTGAACTCCTGTAAGTAAAAAATGAATGAGATGTATTTTTTAGAATGTTTGCTTTCTGACACCATCGTGCACGTCGCTGTGAGGTGACACACTGGAGTCCCCTTCTCAGCATCTCCTGTTTGCTGGGTCAGATTCTGCACTGGGTTCCAGCCCTCTGGGTGGCCCATCAGGAGAGCGTTTTGTCCCTTTTCAGGCTATGATGTGGGCCTCATTGCTTCTGCTCTGACTCAGGTTTTGTTTCTATCGATCCGGCCTGCTGCTCCACACACGGATCTCAAATCCAGGCCTGCTGTGCTGCAAACACTTGCTCTGCTGGCAGCTGACCAGGTTCAGACTGCTGCTCGAGTGAGGTAAATATCTGGTGATGGTGAGAGGTTCTCCAGGATTGGTTATGGCATTGGTGAAGCCTGAGAATGGTTAGTTGGTAATTGTTGAAGAGGGTGTAAGACACAAGTGGTCTACAAGTAGTTCTGTAGCAATTCAAAAACCATGGGTGCCTCAACAGCTATCAGAGTGTGTCCAGAGCAGGGCCACCAAGACAGAGAAAGGTCTCGAGGACACCTTCCAGTGGCTGCTGAGAATCCTTCCGCTTCCAGAGGCCATTGCCTGCCGTATAGTTTCCTGAATAAGGACTTCTGTGCCCTACTTCTTAGGAATTGAACATAAGGTACAGCTAAAACATGGCTGTATGTTAAGGAGGTGACAGGCTATT